AGAGGGAGCAACTCTAAGCAAGGGAAGCAGCAGCATCTCAGCTTTCCTTACAGTGAAGGTTGGCAGTCTCTCCCAAAGACGCTGGAAATGTTCCTACCAGTGCCAGGCCACTGGTTGACCCTCTCCCCTGTTAAAGGACAAACCAGGGGGCAGCTAGGTGGTGCAGCAGATAAGAGTACCGGCCCTGGAGTCAGGAGAACCTGAGTTCAAATCTGGCCTCAGACACATAATACTCATTAGCTGTGTGACCCTGGGCAAGTCACTTAACCCCGACTGCCTCGCCAAATAAAAAAGAACAAACCAGGCAGGTTACCCTCCTGGGAATATGCCCCTGACTTCCCTAAGGGTATCCCACCCAAGGCTAATTCTAGCTGGCCCCTTTGCTTCCAACATAAGAGTTGCTGAATCATTCCGAAAGGGTTGGATTCTGCCCCCTTCCCCTGCTCCATATCCTCCATTATATGGGCAAGGGCAAGTCAGCAAGGGTTTGTGAGGAAAGTGTGAGCTATATCCTTCTAAAGAGTAACACCATCCCCATCAACTCAAAAACCAGAATGGACAACAGTCTATGTTCAATGAGCATACAGAAATGAAATGCATATTAACATTTAGCTCTATTATATTGTACATCTGGGTGTGGCCTTTGGGAATTCTAGGCATCTGGATAACTTTTTGTCAGAAGCCTATCTTAGCACCCACCCACTGCCCAATCTCTATCCATGTCCTCCTTCCTTGGTCCCCAGGAGCTACTAGCTCATTAGGGACCCACCTGTAGTGCCATGTTGCTCTCCAGTAGCCCCACCAGGCCCTTGAGGAACTGGATATTCCCTTCGTTGACATCTGAGGAGACAGAGGCCATACCCATGGGGATGGCTAAATGTAGACAAACGTGTTTCCAGAAGGCTACAAATGGATCTTGATGGGGCTGTGAGGACCTATTAGACTCCGGACAATCTCCCCACTCCCCTGCATGAGTATCCATAAAATCCTTCCCCCTTTTCTAATCCCCTCTTTCTGATGTTCCTTTTGTCATCGGTCCTGGACCCACTCTGGGAGCCCACTGCTGAGATATGCCAAGTAGTGGGTTCTAGGGAAGAGAAGGAATGAGTGTTCATCAGGACAGAGCCACCAGAGGACCTCTGAGGCCAGGGTGACAAAGGGATCATACATGATGGAGTGGGGAAGGAGGACAGGAAAAGGTGACAACTCTTGGATGAAGGGCTCCTTGGGAAGGATGGACAGGGACTGAATCTGGGGAAGTGGAGTAATGCACAAGGGCCTGAGCGAAAGGAGAGAAAACCCTGGGATGAGAGGAAAATGTAGAACTGGTAGGACAAAAACGGGTCTACAGAAAAGTCTGCTGCCCAAAGAGCTCCTGAGTAGAAAGAGAGGGGAAACGATTGAAATACAATCAAAGGCAAAGCTGGCTGGAGATCACAAGTCATTTCCAAAGGCAATTGAGGAGGGGCCAGAACACCCCCCCCCGGGGAGCCTGAGGGAAGCAGACGGCCCAACCCAAGGGATCCCCATCCAGCCACCTCCTGTCCATATCCCAGAGAGGAGGACAGCTCCCGTTACCAAGGCTACCGGTCCCAGAGCTGAGGCTGGTGTTGGGAGAGGATGCTTTGAGCCCTGCACCACCTCGGGTGCTAGACAGCAGATCGTTCTGCTCCTCCAGACTCCGCAGTTGACCCTTAAGCTGCTGATTCTCCAGTTCCAACTCCCGGATCCTTCTCTCTTGCCGTAGGGCTGCTTCTTCCCTGGAGACCAGCAGTCTCCGAAGCTCTGCCATCTGTAACTCCAGCTCTTTCACTAGTTCGGCATATAACCCCGTTACTTTGCCCCCTCCTGCGGCCCAAGGGCAGGCTCCTTCTGAGGCTAGGGGCTCTAGTGGCTCTGTGCTCAACCGGCTTAGAAGAGGTGTGGGGTGGCACAGGCGGGCAGGAGTGGGGCGGGCAGCCCGCAGGGGTTCCTGTGTCCTTGGAAATCGGGGAGTATCCTGGAGGCCCCCAGCTCGAATGTCCAGGCTGCTGGTGCCACCACTTGGCAAGAAAGGGGCAGCTGGCAGATCTGGGACACTTAGCCCCCGTGGGAAGGGAGGACCAAGGTTTGGCCCGTTGGTGGGCCATGGTCGCTTTCTGTTCTTGGCTTCTTCTTCTGGTGCCAGCAGTGGTGGGGCAGGCCTCCCCAGATTCAGTATCCCCCGTGCCTGCACACTAGAAGCAAAACACAAACCTGAGCCACTGGTAGCTGTTTGTAAAGTCCCCACCCAGGGAGAGAAGCATAGGAGGGAGGGAACACCTCCATTGGCTATTTCCACATCCTGATTTCACCCAAGCTAAAATAAGGTACCAAAAAGATGCTAGTTCTAGCTCCTGAGGCAGTTCTGCCAGGATTTCAGGGACCCAGGTATCTGGGGAACAGGTTGGATGTCCATATCCCTGACTCAACCCCTCAGAAAACATATCTAAACCTAATCTTTCCCAGTACAACTAAGAAGCCTGACTCAAGTAACAAGAGAAATAAAGCCTAAGGACTAGGATTCCGTCTTTCACCAGCCCAGTGCCCACCTCAAAGGAGCACTTAACAAAAGCTGCATACAGATAGTGCCTCTTTGAAAGTCAATTTTTTGAATAACCCTTGCGGGCAAAGCCTAGAGCAGACAGCAAAGAAGAACCAGAAGAGGGAGGTGTGGTCCCTGCCCTCAGGGTCCTCTCAGTCCAACTAGGGAGACAGCTGTACATATGAAAGAGCAAGACAGATCTAGAAAGCAATCCACCCAAGAGCTACATTTGGTATAATGTCACCAGTGTAGAAGGGGAAGAAAGTAAGAGAGGAGGAATAAGGGATCCCAACACCAAGGACAGGGCACTCAGCTTGTGTTAGCCTTTCCTGAGTCCCATCTAGGCCAAGACTTAGAATCATATTCCTGAGTCTTAAGAACTTCCATCCATCACCAGGGCCCAGGCATACCAAATAAAGAGTTTGCCATGCCACTATACTAATGCCATTGACCTTGGAATGGATGTAAATGTTTTGCCCAGGATTTGGACTCAATTCCACCTCCACACATCCCCCAAACCTTCTCAGTACTCAAGGCTGCAATCTAGTTCTCTTCCCATTCTCTGATAACCATCTTCTGTGTATTGTATTTTACCACAGTCCTTATCCCTTCAACTCTCTTGACTAATCTTCCCACTGAGCTCTCGGCCTCTAAGCAAACGTTTATATTTTTCTCTCTCCTAGACAATCCTCAGTTCTCAAGATCCTCTCACCCCAGAATGTGCTATAGCCCAAGAGGGGCTGATCAATGTGGTCACAAGAATATAAAAGTGTGTCACCTTGAGGTGTGACATCAACATATTGCTTATATCAGTGCCAGTGGATTTTACAGGTGGGGAAATATACACAGCAAGAAAGTTGGTACAGTAAATTCTCACCTTACCACACTGGCAGGGAGCTGTTTCACAGAGAATCCCAAATAGCATATAATCCATTCATTATTTCCAGTGGAATGAGCACTGACTCTGAAGTCAGAGAACCCAGGTTTATATCCCAGTGTTGACATTGCCTATGTGACCTTGGACAACTCCCTGGGCCTCAGTTTCCTCATCTGCAAAATGAAGGGGTAAGACTATATGGCTTCTAAGGTCTCTTCCAGCTCTGTGAACCTTTGAGGCTTTGATGTGAATATAAACACACACGAATTTTATTTGCAGAGATTTATTTCCCAGATTGTTTCGGTTCTGAAAAGGTACATACCCCGAGCACACAATGATGGCTGAGAAGAACCTGCATAAGATGGACGCTGGAGATATGACTATTCACTGCCTCAAAGAAGCAGCAGCAAGGGGTCCCTTACCTGGCACACTCCAGGGGCACCTGTCTTGGCGGCTCTTGCAGCTCCAGTTCCTGATGTTGCTGAAAACTGGGACTACACAGAGGGCCCCCACCCAGGGCTGCTTCAGCCAGGTCAAAGGTGGGATGGGCATCAGCTGGCTCTCCATCACCCAGTCCTGGGTCCACAGTCTGGAAGTGGCCTGGCAGTGCCACCCTCTCCCCGGCCCCCTCAGCCATCTGCTGGCACTGACCGGGGGACCAGCCCCCGAGGCACCTGGGAAGGAGAGAAGCGAGGAGACTCAGCCCAGGTGGGGAGGTAAAGGCAGGACAGTCTGCTGCACCACGGCACTGAACTCATTCTGAGGAGCGCGATCTCAGAGTCAGCGAGGGGCAAACTCCAGCACCTACCTGGCTTACGGATGCCCCCGTCCCCGGAGTCTCCCCGCAGCCCGCACCGACTCCTCCTCGAACCCCAGCTCAGTCCTCGGTCCTACAACTAACTTCATCCCCAGCGCCCTCCCGGCGCCAGTCGTCCCTTCCCCCCGCCCGGTTCACCCCATTACCCTGTCCCTGTCCCGGTTCTCCCCTTCCCACACCGCTGAGCTGCGCTCTGCGGCTTCCTCTTCCCCTCCCCTTCCATGGGACGCCTAATCATCCCAGCCGTCCTGAAGACTGCCGCCCCCCAAACCACCACGCTGTGTCCCCCCAAATCCCCGATCCGCTCCCCCCTCCCCTTCCCAGCCCAGACTCTGGCAGCCCCTGTACCTTTAACAACACCTCCATGTGCGTATTGACGACAGTGACTACATTTCCTGGTCTCTTTGTTCCCGCCCCCGTCGACGCTCTCCATTGGTGCTGAAGCTCTATTGTTCCCTTTCCGATTGGTCCCGTTCCCGGAAGATTGAAGCCAATGACCTTTCCGTGTTGTCCCCCGCTCCCCGACCCTGGCCTCCCATTGGGTCCCAACGTGGAGAGGGCGGGGCCGACGGGAGGTTAGACGGACCAGCAGGGCCTTCCAGCTTGGGAGGATGCGAAGGTTAGGAAGCTGAAGAGCCGGGTGCTGAGACGGGAGGAAGGGGGGAAAAGAGGAACGGGGCTAAGTAAATAGGGGGGACGCGGGGCGAGCCGCTCTTGCATGCGTGCGAAGAGGCAAATCACGTGGCTGCGCGGTCGCTATGACGACCCGACGGGTGGGGGCAGGCAGCGTGCTGCTGGGCGTCGTGACGTGGAGTTGGCTGCGAGCGGCGCAGACGGATCTCCTTGGGAGGCGGGTGTGCACAGCTGTCATGGACCTGGGACCCATGAGGAAGAGTTACCTCAAGGACCACGAGGTGCCGGCTCCGAGGCGTCGGGGGAAGGGGTACCTGGGACTCCTGCGGGGGTAGAGGGGGAGCCGGAGGGACGGTGGGAGGGGGCGGTCGGGGGAGCCGGGGAGCACAGAGACAGGCCGCAGCTCTGCCCTTCACCTTCGCCCAGGCCTTGGAGGAGGCGCACCTGACCTCGCTGGACCCCATCCAGCAGTTCTCTGCTTGGTTCGAAGAAGCCTCCCGGTGCCCGGAGGTGTATGAAGCCAATGCCATGTGCCTGGCCAGCTGCACCAGGTTAGCACCGCCCCCTTCCCCTGCTTTTTACAAATGGGGAAAGTGAGGCCTGGTCACCTGCACAGGGTTGACACGGCCCTTCCACCCTCACACTCCCTTTTTTAAATGTATTTTTTCGTATGATGAAAAAGGATTGCACATGGAACTGCAAATCTGTTGTGTACAACTTGCTATTCTTTTTAAACGTATAATAAAGTTATGTAAATTTCTCTTTTTCCCCTTTTTCCTCCCCTCCCCCCATTCTAGAAATGGCTGCCATTAGACATACATATGTGTATGTGTGTGTGTGTATGCGTATGCAAAGTCATTCTATACATACTTCTATTCATCAGTTCTTTCTCAGGATGAGATCAGCATCTTCCTTCCTATGTCCTTTGTAGTGAATTTGGGTATTTATAATATGTATAAGTCATAAGGTATTTATGAGTCCAAATGACTTAGTTGTTCAAAGTTGTTCTTAAAACAATGTTGCTGTTACTGTATACAAAATCCCCTTGGCTCTGCTCATTTCACTCTTCATTATTTCGTGCAAGTCTGTGTTTTTCTAAGATCACGGAGCTCATCATTTCTTATAGCACAATAATGTTTCATCACAATCATACCACAATTTGTTCAGCCATTCCCCAACTGACAGACTTGCCCCCAATTTCCAGTTGTCACCACAATAAGAATTACTATTTATATTCACATCCAATTTTTATAGATGGGGAAACCAAGACCTGACTACATGGCTACCTGCCTTAGGTTTATTTCTCTCACAGTGAATGTATTGCTTTATTTGGCTTATTTACTTGGCATAGTGGTTAGAGTACTGGAGTTGGAGTAAGGAAGACCTGAATTCAAATCTTGATACTAGCTTTGTGACCTGGGCAAGTCACTTAGCCTCTCAGCCTCATGTTTCCTTTACAGGAGGTAATTAAGGGCATCAGGATTGGGTACTGACCACTGTTCCTATTCCTGTGTCTCCTAGGGATGGAAAGCCTTCTGCCCGAATGTTGCTGCTAAAGGGCTTTGACCAGAATGGCTTCCGTTTCTTCACTAACTTTGAAAGCCGAAAAGGAAAAGAGCTGGTGAGGATTTCTGTAAAGAAAAAGCCAAAAACTCTCTCTCTATCCATGCCAACGTGACAGGCATTTCACATCTCCCTTCTTGTGCCCTTCCATAAAAATGAAGAAAGAGGACCAGATCCTAAACTCTGGTATGTTCTTCCTCCCCTTTTACCCTCTTACAGTCTCTCAATTAGTTTCTTCACTCTTCAGACATAGAAGTCTGGATTCCCAGGCCAGAGTAGAAAGCGACTATTCTGCTGAGCCCTTGTGGTAGCAAATGAGAAATGTGAGAAATCACAGATAGCTGCTCTTCCCAGAAAGCATCATTGTCATCTCTCTTCTCCCCTCCTGCCCCATGAAGCTAGGTTGGATTCCACCTCATTGGGAGGAGGTCCCATTTTTCACCCTGACCTCATGCCTTTTTCTGTTTTCTTATCCCCAGGATTCTAACCCTTTTGCCTCCCTCGTCTTCTACTGGGCGCCCCTCAATAGACAGGTGAGCGGTGTTTGGGACAGGGTCAGAGATGGACCAAGGGAGCCATGAGCAAAGATGGTAAAAATGTGGGCACCCTGGATAGAGCTTTCCCAGGAAACCTCCCTTTGTCTTTAGTGTCAGTCCTCCGATGTAGAAAGACAGAGGAGCCAGCTTCTGGGTCAGACTAGATTGTGTTTTGGAGGTGGATGGGGAAAATGAAGAGGACTGGGTCATCTACTAGAAGAGTTGATCTGAAAGGCTCTATCCCCCTCCACCTGTGACTGTCTGAGCAGGTGCGTGTCGAAGGGCAAGTAAAGAGGCTTCCAGAGGAGGAGGCTGAACTATATTTCCACTCTCGCCCTAAAAGCAGCCAAATCGGTGCAGTCGTCAGTCGCCAGAGTTCTGTTATTCCAGATCGGGAGGTGAGTGACGTGGGGAAAGAGAAGGTAGAGAGAAGGGGCACCTGTCCTCTTCCAGAGTTAGTCAGCTAGGTGGCACAGTGGATAGAGCTCCAGCACTGGAGTCAGGAGGACCTGAGTTCAAATCTGGCCTCAGACCAAACACTTGACACTTACTAGCTGTGTGACCCTGGGCAAGTCACTTAGCCCCAATTGCCTAAAAATATTTTTTAAAAAAGTCATACAAAAGTAACTTTTTTTTAAGGCAATTGGGGTTAAGTGACTTGCCTAGGGTCACACAGCTAGTAAGTGTCAAGTGTTTGGTCTGAGGCCAGATTTGAACTCGGATCCTCCTGACTTCTAGGCTGGTGCTCCATCCATTTCGCCTGTAGCTGCCCCCTAGTCATACATACTTAATCAGGCAGAGGGCCCACCACTCTTAGATGCCTGGGCTGAGATTTTCCCTAGGCATCCTGGTACTCATTACATTTCCTCTCCTCTTGAACAGTACCTGAGGAAGAAGAACGAGGAGTTACGGGGGTTGTACCAGGAGGAGAATGTGCCCAAGCCTAAATATTGGTGAGTACACAGCTTCCATTGGATCAGAGATGGAAAGAACCTTAGAGACCATCTAATGTAACCCCAGAGAGGTGAGGTGATTTGCACAAAGTCACACAGTTAAGTTGCAAAGCTAGGATTTAAACCTGGCCTTCCAACACCAAATCTAGCACACTGTGTACCATCTTGTTATGAAAATGGGAAGTTATCAACCCTTTGATTCTGGCCTGCAAGATGGCAGTGCCCATCCCTCCCTCGGCGCCACAGGGACCAGCAACGACAGCGTCTTGGGCCTGAGACGCTCAACCGAGCCACTTCTAACAGTGGCTTTGAATCCAGTCTGTAGAAAGCAGCCCCACAACTATGAAACCTCTCCCTCTCCTTTAGGGGTGGCTATGTCCTGTACCCAGAAGTGATAGAGTTCTGGCAGGGTCAAACCAACCGTCTGCATGACCGGATTGTCTTCCGGAGGCTGCAGCCTGGAGAGCCTGCACCAGGGCCTATGACTCACCTTGGGGCAAATGACTGGCTATATGAGAGACTGTCACCATGACTGTCTGACTGCTGGTGATTGAACCCTCTCAGCTCACTCTGGAACCTGGAACAGAGTGGTGAGAAATGTGGGGGAGTTCCCATCAGGCTTTAAACCTAGCCCACTCAACCCTGCATCGAGGGCCTTGCCAACGTTGTCACCTAAGCACTTTGTACTAAGTCAACTTTCATTTATCCCTGTTTTGTGTACAGGTGATGAAAAGAGCACCCCAGAATCCAAAATTGGATGATCTAAAAATCATTTCCTTTTGACTTGAGTGTTTTCGGAACTACAAGATATACATGTGCATATATTTTGGCAACAAGTTGCCTTCCCAGTAACTGACTTCAAATATTTGAATGATTGTCACTCATAATGAAGGAAAATTGCATGTATTCAATGTATCCCTAAAAGACAAACCTAGAGCCAGTGGATAGAGGTCACAGGAAGGTGAATGATCTTCTGTAAGAATCTTCTAGGGGGAATTCCAAAATGGAGTAAACAGTCAACTAGATGTGCTCTAGAGACCTGTTTTTTCCCCTTCTAACCCTGACTTGAACCAATAGTAGAGAATTGCACAATGATGAAATCAGTTTGCGTTGTCCGGCCAGATCCTGGAGGGAGTGGGTCTAATGGGCTGGGAAGAATCCAGCTTGGGGTTAAACATTCACTGTGACTCAGCCTTGTGTGAGAGAAAGTTGATTGCCACTTGAACTCTTGTTGTTGCCCTGACTACTTTGTAAACATGTGTATGTGTTCCTTGATAGCTGAACCTGCCTTGGTCTGTCTCCCCGCCTAGATTACAAGTTATAGAGCTGGAGTCAGCAAACTTCAGCCCACACTCACTCGAGCCTGGTGTGGTTATTGCCCCAGGAGCTAAGAATAGTTTAAAGTCATATTGTATTTAGAAAATGTAAAAAATATTCCTAGCTTCCAGGTCCTTGGGGTCAGATTGGGATCGCCCCTCCCCTGCTCAAAAGCCCAGAGTTTCCATCTACCCTGTGTGGCTGTGCCCGTGTTGGGGGCAGGGGCTCCGAGTTCCTTGTTGGGGCTGGCGGCAGAGCATAGTTGCCTAATCTCTGAGAAGGAGACTGCTCTAGCCCTTGCTCTTCCTTTTAGGGCCTGAACTACGTCTTGTTGAGTAGATTACTGTCTGGGCTGGGTGTGTGTGTGGGTGTGTATCCATCTAGCTGTGTGTTAATGGTCTGGTTGTCAGGGCCTGTTTGATCCCTTCTCACCCTGGCCTGGTCGCTGGATACTGCTCTGTACCCTTCTTATATCCTGTTACCTCTTGTACCAGTCCTCTAATAAAATCTTCAGCTGTGTTGTTAATGTTCACCTTGTTCTGGCTGGCCTGCTCTCTGCCCCCGAGGTAATGGGTGGGGATACAGTGAGTCATTGTCCTCCCACCTCTTTTCTCCTTCCTAGTCGAGTTGAGGAGGATCAAGGCTAAGGGAACCTCCCTCCCTGTCCAGCAGGGGGAGCCAGCTGCCCATCATTGGTCTATATCAGGTGGATTCCAGTTCTGGCTGGTCCCCCTCCAGGAGTGTTGGGTCCTGTCCCAGTGAAACTGCTGCCCAGATAACCCCTGGCCTCTCCCAGTTCCAGCACATATTTGCACTCTCAGTTCCTCCTCCTCCTCCCCTCCTTCCTCTTGCTTCTTCATCTCCTTCTCCCCAACCTTGTGCCTGATTTGGCTGTCCAGATTGTCACCCTGTCCCCAAGGAAGGGCTCACTGCAACTGGCACCTGACGGAGGACTGCCTGGCAGAATAGCCCAATGACTCTCCATGGGAGCAGGAAGGGTAGGACAGGTAGAGGGCTGTAGATTTCAGTAGGAGCTGAAGCTAGGGGTGGGGCTGGGTTGACCCCAGGATCCCCACCTTCCCTGTCACCATCAGCAGTTGGGCTCCAGGTTGGGGAACCAGTAAAGGGTAGGTCTGGTTTCTCTTCTCGGGAGTCATCTCCTCTGCTTTCTAACCTGACTTTTTTCCAGCACCCCAGAGGAAATGGAAAATGGAACTTCTGTCACCTGTTCCCATACAGGACCTATTCAGTCAGGAGAAGATAACTCAGTACAAGAATTCCACTCACCCCTCCCCCCCAAAAAAGCCACCAACCCTCACCCCTGTGGTGAATGATTTAAATGTATGAGTTTCTTCTCCCTCTGCTAAATTTGCCCTCTAGAAAAATGGGGGGGGTCCCCTTTTACAGTAAAGGGAATGGGATGAGTGCTCTCAGCTGTGAATTCAAATGAGATGTTTGGCAATCCTCCAAGGGAAGCCCCATGCTTGAGTTGTTATAGAACCCCAAGGTATAAAAAAAAGGGGGGATGTTAAAGCTACCATGTCTAACCCCTCCATCTGCCTCCCATCACCCCCAAGTTCCCCACTGGCTAGGGTGAGGCACCGTGACAAAGGTCTCCTTGTACCATAGGTCCCAGTTTGTTTTGATAATAAATACCCTGGTTCTTAGCAGCTATTCCCCAGGGTAGGGTGGCCCCGTAGGCAGTGAGGTTTGAGTAGAAGCTGCAGGGTGGCATTGTTTGGTCACCCTCTCTGTTGTTCCCTCCCTCCAAGCTCTAGGGACTTGGCTTATTCTTTCTTATCCCTGGCTCCTTTCCATTTACATGGGTGAAGCCTGGGCCTGAGGACCTGGTTGGGAGAGATTGGAACACATCACTGGGCAGGGTCTTTGAATATGTTTCTTTGTTAAAAAGTGATGAGAAGTTGCCCCTGGAGATATTGGAAGGGAGAAGTGGAATTTATTATTAAAGGGAACCTCATCTCCCAAGATCTAGCCTTTCTTTTCCAGACCCAGGTATACTCTCAGATTTGTTATAAATGGTAGAGGGGGATGATATTGGTCACCAAATTGGAGAACATTAGAACTAGGCCCCTCACAGCCTGATGCTAGCTAGGAGGTAGTTTTAGAGCAAATGAGAGTAGCTACCACTTTACAAAGCCAAGAAAAAACCTCCAGCAATCCTATACATATACACAAACACGCAGACCACCCAGGCCATGGGTCACGGAGCTTTTAAAAAAAAAATGCTTTAGTAAAAGGTCCATAGTAAATCATGAGGGGTTAGTGAGAAGTGCTGGACCAGCAGATGTTCTTTACTGGTAAGGACAGTATTGCTCTTAGGGCCACTGCCACTCTGAGACAGAGCACCAAAATGTTGTGCAGATTGTGACAGCTTTCTGTGTTCTTCCATCTGTTTTCACTCTCTTTTTCATCCGAAGCTGATAAATAGTGCCCCCAAACCCCAGGCCAAGCATATAGAAGAGACAATAATCGACCCAACCTCTAGTGATAGTAGTGGCTGCCATCATGAGGACCCTCCACTTTCAAGTCATGTTTATTACCAAAAAGAAATTTATGACCAAACTTAAAAAAAAAAAAAGAATTCAAGACCCAGAATGTCATCCGGGGCATTTGTCTTAACTACATATTCTGGCAGGGAGAGTAGATAGGTGGGCCATCTTGGTTCCCCTGAGCAGGAATCCTTAGAGCCATGCAGCTCCCCCACTGTCACTGTCTATCTTGACACACCTAGAAGGGAGTGTCCCTAGCAGAAACTGATACCTGATATCCACCAATCTATCCCTTTGGAGTCTTATGGGAAGTTGCAGAGATCCTCCTCTGGCCACGTTCTAAGCAAAGTTCCAGGAAGTGCAAAGGGAGGTGAGATAAGGGATTGAATCTCCCTACACCCCTGACTCTTGGGGAAAAGACTATGCCATCCTTGTCCCATGTAGCTTCTAGAAAAAGTTCCCACGGGGAAAAGGTTAGGGTGAACGTGGAGGAGAGAGCAGCAATTCAAACCTGATCCTGATCCTTGTTCCTGGGGAACAGGAGTGGCACTCCACCTTCACCCATCCATCCCTCCCTCCCTCCCAATAGGCACTGCCTAGGGCCGTAATGAGGATTGACCCTCCCTGGGTTATTATTCTCTCTCTTTCCAGATATATGATCCTTGAACTAAGGAGGACCCTCCATGTGGGGGTGGGGACAAGCCCAGACCTCCAGGGCCAGCCTTCCCTAGTAGGGAGTCATGCATCTATAAATAATAGAGACATTTCCTTGCCCACAGGTGTGGAGGACAGTGCAAAGAAAGGCTAGAGTATCAGTTTTCCTTTTCAGAATCCAGCTGATGGTAGGAAAGAAGGAGGTACTTAGCATCCCCCGTCTCACACTTCACTGTCCTTTCCCATCTCCACCATCAAAATAGTTGGGATTTTCCGCCAGAGTGGCTCGAACCTTTTTCTTCTCCTTAAATCGCCCAGAATTGGAGACCTTGACGTGTTTGCCTTTGGTGTTCTTGTCCACAATTTTCTCTAGCCGGGCATTAAAGTCACTGTTGGGACTCACTCCCTCAGGCCGAGTGGGCTCAGTACCTCCATCTAGGTGGGCATAAGTGTCCGGGCTCTCATACAGCACCTTGGGAGTTGACTTCTTTTTGCGCAGAAAGGTCAGCTTCCACCAGCCAACATCTGCCATGATTCCCTGGTGCAGAATATTCAGAGGAGACCTCCTGGAGCCAGTATAAGGGAAAGATATGGACATCAGTCAAGAGACAAGATTGAGCAGCAGAATCCAAGTCTCCTCTCTCTTCCCCTTTGCCTAACTCCCTATTCTCAGAATCTCAGCCTATTTTAGCATGGGCCTAAAAAATGTGCCAACCTGAGTGTAATTGGGATACAGAGAAGTAAGCATTTGAGTGAAAATGCGAAACATTTCCAGAATGCCTTTCAAACTGACGATGCCATTGCCATGGTGATTTCAATGAGCACAATGATTTGAGGACATGACGTGTTGGCCGGCTGAAAGAATTGGCCCAAGCAAACAGGAAGGTATAGACAAGAAAGCAGGTAGAAAAGTAGTTGGAGGTAAGACATACAAAGAGAATCAACTCACATAAGAGTTGGAAAGGAAGTTGCAATCATCTAGTCTTGGGGCTCTTGTCCCTTTTTTGTAACAAAGACTCCCTGGACACAGTCTGGTGAAGCCTATGGATGCCTTTTCATGATACTGTTTTTAAATGCACAAAGCAAAATACGTAGGATTACAAAGGAAACCAATTATATTGAAATACTATCAACATACTTAAAAATAAGTTCATGATCCCCAGGTTAAGAATCTCTGATGGAGACCAGCTCTCTCTCTCTGAGAAAGTGACCTGTCTAACATCACATAGACAGTCAACGACAGGGTTGGGTCTGGAGCAGGAGAGGGGAACTTGTGACCTCAAGGCCACATGTGGCCTTCTAGGTCCTTGGGTGCAGCCTTTTGACTGAGTTCAAGTTTTATAGAACAAATCCTTTTATAAAGGGGATTTGTTCTGTGAAGTTTGGATTCAGTCAAAGGGCCGAACTTGAGAACCTAGAGGGCCACATGTGGCCTTGAGGCCACAGGTTCCCCATCCCTGATCTAGAGTGTCAGTCTCCTTTTCAAGGCTTTCCAACACATTATCTAATCATTATTAGCAAATTAGAGCCCCGTATGGGGTCAAGACCCACAGCACTGAAGGGATGGTAAGGGGAAAATTTTTTAAGAAGGCCTGAATGTAATAAACTGCTGGAGATGGGCACACAGTGATCGAGGCTTAGTACCAGCAGGGCTCAGAGAGTCTGACAGCTGATGCTGCAGCTTGTATCATGGCTTGTTTTTTATATAAATTTGTTTTACTTTAATTCCTGTATAAGGGACACAGCTCTTCTGCTGCTATGCGACCAAGACACCTGGACCAATAAAGAAGCAAGAAGCCTTTTGCACAAGTGTCTGTAAAAATGCCTTCCAAGAGGATTAGTGGTGGTCTCCAACCATTCCCTGCCCAATGACGCCTCTTTCTCTTCTCTCTCCCTTCTGTTTTGCTCTACATCTGAGCTTTAGGCCTTTCAGTGGTGTCCTCCTCAACTAGGGGAGGCAGTGTCTGATCCAATAGCCAAGATTTCTGACCCCTAGGCTAGGAGTCAGGTGACCCTGGCTTTAGCCCCACCCCACACCTGACTCTCTGAGTGACCTTGGGCAAAGTATGTCACATCATAGTGCCTCAGCTTCTTCTGTCAAACAAGGGCCTCGAACTGAATGAACCCTATTGCCCGAGCCAACTGGGGCTGGGTCATTCTTTTAAATCCTTCAGGAGACATTTCTTAAGTGCGTTTTCTCTCTTCCCTTGAAATGCTCCATGGTAGGCACTGGGGATGATATAAAAATATTTATCTCAAAAATCTTCCCCAATACATTGCACTGTTGGTGCTAGACTGAAGGCTGAATGAAGGAGAATCATTTGAAGCTTTATAGACTACTATAATGGAATCAAATCCTGTTGGTGGT